TATATGTACAAGTTGCACTGTACGTGTCGCTGCACTTCCATTCGCAATTCAATATATATATATATATTAATATATATAATATAACAGTTATATACAGTTTGTTTTGGGGCATATTTTTTTCAGGAAGACATCGGATCTCCCTTCCCACCATGGCGTCATGCACGGCCCTCAATCCCAACGCATCCGAGGCACGGCCCTCCACACCGATGGCTTCCTTAAAGGTGATCCGGACCTAGGCGCTCCGATCACGGGTTGCAGGGCGCCGGTGGGTTTGTTGTTTTTCTCCATTCGGTGCCCGAGAAAAACCACGAGTCTGAGTTTATTTTTTTTACCGGATGGTGGACGTACATTTGGGGGAGTGTGAAAATCATATGTGAAGATTCATCATATAGGCAAAGGGACTGAATCCAACCGAAAGTTTAAGATGTTGGAGATTGTTTGAGGATTGATATTGAGGGTCCACATAGGTACGTTGGGGGGGTATGAGTTGCCCTTATCGGTCGGGTCAATCGCGAGACGAGAGAAACATGGATCAGGGCGTGTCAACCACGTTGAACAATGATGGCACTTGTAAAAAATAAACACAACAATAGAGCTTGAAAACATGTTGCTTTCTGGACCTTCTGGTTCCAGCAATCCAGGCGGTATGTGCATCGTTCCCACTATCGTTCCCATTGCTTTGGTACGCTTCTTGCAAAGCGAATGGCCCCCCCATTGACGGTTAGAGAACTTCCCTGCAAAGCTTTTCTCTCGGGGTTTTACCAACTGCAGGGCCTTCTCTCCTCCCAACAAGGCTGGGACGTTTTGTGCATCTACTGCAGATTGATTCCAAGAATTCTTGGACCCTCCAATCAGTAATCTGGCATGATCTTGGAGAATCAAGGATAAATCCATCCAACTGAAGGCTTCCCGGCAGTCCCAGCTGGTGTTTTGGATCTCTGGTCCCTCCAAACTCCGAGGCCCCTGTCATTGGCCACATGGTGGCAGTGGAAGAGATGCCCCAGCTCCTCACCGAAGCCACCACGAACCACAGCTGGGGATCAAACGCAACGAAAACCCCGGGGTGGCCGGCGAACCCCCAACGCGGCCGGCCCGAAGCCTCTGGTGGTTGGAGAAACACAACCATATTCGAAATCATCCGTTGGGTCCTCTGTTGAACCCCAGGGCCCGGCCCGGCCTGGTGAGATGGGCAGCGCAGGAAAAACGACCTGTTCTTCTTTTGTGAGAGCACAGAACAAGAGGAAACCAGGAGATGCTTCAAAAGCCGTGTTGCTTCAAACATGTTCACACTACATCACCGAAGCCATTGCAAAGTATCACAACACTTCTACAGATCCAAAGAAACCAAATCTAACCTCAATCAATGAACGTCATTCATTGAACAAACCAAAGGAAACCAAGCAAGACTCATCTTCCATTCGCCAGTCATTTTCCTGTGGCGTCTCTCCCCATGCAGCCGGCAGTCCCGATTGGCAAAGCGGAGAGTGAGCAAATTCAGAACCTCTCCGAGTGCAATGCTGAGAGTGACATGAGACACGGTGGAGATGGCTGTGGGGTCAAAACCCGACACTGCATAGTAATTAGATGTAATAAGGCATACTATGTCGGAATAAGTGTTGCATGGCTGGGGACTGGGGACAAGTTTTCTGCCTATAATGATTCACTTAAGTCAAATTTCTACCATGGACCATGACTGTTGGGGCAAAAACTACCACAAGCGCGCCTCCTCTTGGTTGGCTATGCAAATACATTCATCCCACTCTCCAGTATACTCTATGTCATTACCATTGTCCTCGCCACGATCCGACGACTATATGTGTTCCATTCCACTTTGGCACTTTCCCTGGTTGCAACCGCTTCTTCCCACACAGGCAGGCTGCTTGGTCCTGCCGGAATTTTACCGGAGTACCTCACCATTGTTCATTGTTCTCCTTCCGGTGAAGGATGGTCTTGCCCTAGGCCCTATAGGCTGAATCTCCTGTCTCGACTAAGGAACTGCGTTTATGTTGTGCCGCATTTAGTCATATTATTCGAGGATATCATCCTCATGCTATTTCCACTTTATCCATCAATACCAGCTCCACCATATCGTGTTGCCGGCTCGCGATCCTGACACATGTGTTGTACTCCAACTCCAGCAATTGCGGAGAAGCCATCCCACCACCTATAATTACTAATTACTTCAGCGCGTCACGTCATTCTGTATATTTACTACTGACGGCTTCATGGTGACTTTGCGATCGATCATGATGTTCGGGCCTGGCTGCGGGGTGATTCAATTTCACAAGACCTCGGACCCCCTATCCTTCCAACTACAAAGTCGTGGCAACCTCACCTCCGTCTGGCGAACACAATGATCGAAAAGGACTCCAGTGACTCCAGGCACTCAGCTAAGGGTCGATCCAAACGACCATCGCACACCCTGAAAAGCCACTGTGGACCTGTACTCTGACTTCCAATAGACCCACAAACTTTGTTAGAATGTATGTTCTCAACACCGGCCCCTAGCCACCTTACAGGTTTGCTAATTGGACCCTTGTTCATTAGATCCGCAAAGTTTGTTTACGCCGTTATCATCGCGTCCATTCGATTAAAGTTCATCAATCCCTAAGTGCTGCAACGGAAGCTCGTAAGGTCCAGAATTACCGCTGATCTACTATATAGGCACGGTTTTAAGGCAGTGGCCACACTCTGCACGAAGGCAAATACGGCACTTCTACTTATATATATACATGTTCCGATCCAAGGACTAACGGACCCTTCAGCAACAGGAACACACCCAAGCCCACCAAATCGTTACCGGTAATCCAGTAATCCCTATTCCCGCGTGTTCCCACACATTTGCAGCTTTTGCATCCCATTTGTGCTTAATACTTGGATTGCTGTTCCATCCTATTCCCAACGATCGCTCCATAAACATGCCTGGACCTTTGGCACAAGTGCCACCTCCCTAATTGCCATGCAGCTCACGGTCTTTCCCCCACTGTTCCCAGCCAGGACGGCTCAAGGAGTTTGCGCCTTTTAGCGAGCGGTCGTACAGCGTCAGCTCCGACCCATGCAAACTCATATAAAAACTATATATATATATAGCTAACTTAGCTAATATACAACAATACACCAATTATCACCCATTTGATCAGGGCATCCTAGGGCGCCAAACTAGCGCCAGCCTTCTGCCGTGTCTGACATGGACACCACATCCCCTTCCATCTCCAGGGCTCACTGAGCGGCCCCCCGATAAGCCATGGCCTTGTGGCCACATATTCTTTGGAAAAAACGTCCCACCAAACCAAACTCGCTTGGCTCGAACTCCCAGACTATGCCCCCGGCCGTGTCACAATATGAGACAGCTTAAGATGCTCAAGCGTCACCTGCTTCACTGGTGCAATTCCCATGGATGTTTTGTATTGTCTCTTTTTGGAGGTCGTTTTTGGAGGTCGTGTATGTCACATACTCTCCGAATCGCAAGGAGGTCGTGTATGGAACGGACATGATGTCCAACACCGGATATGGGACAAGCCGTCTTTTACTCGCTCCGGCCAGGGGAAGGAGGGTACATAGGGGGTATGGGACATCTGTCAGTTGCGCGCGGGGAGGCCCCAGATCCGGTCTCGCTCTCCTCGACGCGAGACCGGAACCGCGCCAGAGTCTTGGCAAGGTAGTGATCCATGCGGAAGATCTCCTTTTCATCCAAGTACTTCTTCAGGCCTCGGTGCTTTTCAAAGGAAGATTAAACTTCCATGATGATATGTGATGATTCATGTGAGTCGGACATCCGCCTTTTGTTGTTTTTTTTTGTTTTTTGGGCGAGTCCTTGTTTTTGGAGCGTCGAACTTAATTCACATTACTTGTCCAGCTGTACTTTTGGTCGAAACATGTCGAACTTCAGTTGTTTGTAGATCTTCGTCAACTGCATCAAACTGCATATGAAGGTAGCTGGGCTGACCCTCCGGGCACCAAAGAATTCAAGGCACCTTCTCCAAAGGTACTGTATGTGTGCGTACTGCCAGGGCAAATGTTCTATGGTCTATCAGTGTCTCTGTGTTTGTAGTGGTGATTGCTCTCTGATTGGCCCTTTCCTCTTCATCTAATGGTATGACTCTGACTGGAACAAAATCCTCCAGATGTTTACAGACCAATCCTCGAACAAGTGCTCTAGTTCACTGCCCCTCCAGTTCACCATTTGTGCTCTTCTTGAACATTCATGGTCGACAGTTGTCTGCCGCAAAGGAAACTGACAAAGCTATGAATCTATGAAGAACAAACATATAATATACTATACCCCACACACTCCATGTCTACCATATATGCCCACATTGGGGTGGTTTGGAGGGTCAATGTAGGCATATATTCCATACATGGAGTGTCTGGGTACTGTATGTATATACTAGTATAGTTATAAGGATTGATCAACCCATAATTAAAACACCTAGGGTATCCTAGGGCATAGTTTTTGTGGAACCATCTACCATCCCCATCCGCTTTCTTTTGGCGCCCTCCTCTTCATCGCTGCACAGGTCGATCGCTGCACCTCGCCGCAGCGGTCCGTTCGAACCGCGCCGGTTCCACGAGCGAAGCTCCGGACACAGGTCCCGGTGACGGGATGAGGAGAAGGTCCCCACAGGTCCCAAGCAAAGGCCCCAAATTCGTGATTTGTGGAGCAAAAGCACCTTTTCAGGCCGTGAGAAGGTGTTCATGGCCTGAGCTACAGTAGGTTCATAGTTCTATGCCGATATTAGGGCGATATAGGCATCAATAGGGCCACATAGATGGCCTATAATTGTTATGCTCTATATCGGTCTGAGGCACGCCCTATAGCTCCAACCAGGTTCCTTTCAATTCCCTCTAGAGGCTTCTGCGATGACCATCGATGAGCTCTGAGGAGAAGTCGATGCGGCGGTTTTGGAGTTCGGACAGGACTAGTGCCATCTGAACAGATCTGACACTCCTGCAGGGCAGTGAAAGGGATCGCTTCTGGTCCCGCACCAAGCCACTTGCAGCCATGGAGGTCTTCGCAAAAAGCCGCCTTCCTGGGCGTGGATGCTCAAATGAGCTTAACCTGAGTGGTACACACACAGCCAGAAGTATGGACAATGAAGCTGGTCCCGGAACTAGCGGATTGTTTTGGCACTGAACAACTCTGGTTCAAACATCCACTCAAAGAGCTCCAAGCTCGAACTTCATCCAAAAGGTGCCTGGACTGCTTGTGGAAGATCTTTTTGTGATTCATTGTAAGCTTATGGATCTTATTGTGTTTCATTATTTTCATTGTAATCTTATAGGCTGGGTGATTGGCAAAGAAATTACACTCGTTTGAGGTTTTTGGATCGCTTTGGAGTCCTTCACCTGATTTCATACAAAAAAAGCTCCCCTTCTTCCACACCCTTCAAACAGCAACACTCTGGCAGACCGCCAAGCAACACGTCCATCAACTTCCGTTGCTTCCGCTTCGCCGCGTCCGGTTCGTGCGTCGCTGCTTCGGCAGCACGGCGTGCTCCGCGCTTCGCCGTCGGCAGCGGCACGCTGCGCAGCGTCACGGTGACGCGGCGGTAGGGACCCGTCGGATGGCTCCAAGGGACGCCGTGGCGCAGGTGGTACCGGGCGAAGCCGAAAAACATGTACCTGACAGGACTCCTGACAGGTTTTCCAGGTTGGGTGAAAGTGGGTGATTGTGGCATGGTGTTTTTCATGATAGTGTTCACATGTGCTCACTGTAGGTGGTGATCTCCAGAATAGTCCGAGTGGACTTCTGAGTGGTCATCATCATCATGACCATCATCATCATCATCATCATCATCATCATCATCATCATCATCATTTTTTTCGGACTTGGCCAATTTTCGGACTTGAACTCTGCATTCTCTTGATTCCAAGATGCTATTAGGCGGAGGCCATCGCAAGTAGGTTGGAGGAAATCGCTACTAGTACCAGCTACTAGTACGCTCTTCCACGTAGAGTGAAGAACTCCCCTCTTCGCGCCCCAACGCCGGGCACAAGGCTCGCCGCGGGAGCTCCACCAGAATGCCCTCGCCACGCGCCTCCAGCTCCTGACTTCGAGCTCTTGAACTTTGGGTAGTGAGCAATGTGGTGTTTTCTTTTGTTCTGACGAATAACATCTGGAGCATCTGGAGTCATGTTTCATCATGTTTCATGACATCTCGTAATTGTTGAAGATGGGTCATCGTCATGAAGCAACAAAAACATCACAAACCTCTAGCAGTCAGAGCGTTGTTTCTTATTTGCCTTGCGGCGATCTGTGGTTCAGTTGGTCCCAGATTCAGCGGTATATATATATATCCAATGAGTCGTGGCTGTCTAGTCACTATATAATTTCATTGCTTCAAGTCCAGTTTTTTTCTCGTTAAACTGTTAAACCTCTAGCCTGAAAGCGCCCGTCTTTGCAAAAAGGTCGTTGTTGCAACCACTGGACAGGAGGCACGGCCAGGCTTTCATGAGTAACACGACTTGGAGTGCTTGATAGCACCGTAATTCGTACGATTGGTACACCACACTACCAGCCTGGACGAGAGAAATAACAAAAAGGGAAAACCACTACTGACAGTAATTAGTCAAACAATCATCTACGTGGTTCATTCTCATGGTAAACAACTCCCACGATGCATCATGTTTCGGGCATCATGGACTCCTTGGCCAGCGCCATGGGGAATGGCTGCCCCTTGTGCGGACCCGAGCGTGAGAAGAAGATATGCCCATGATCCTCCAAGCGACACGCCACAGTGCCGGTGTGTGGATAGGCGCTGAAGCAAGAGAAGCAACAAATGGTTTCCCCATTTTTTTGGAAGGGGGAAGTGTGTCTTGGAATATGCTCGCTCGGAAACACAGAAACACATGTCAACTTTGATAAATCAAATGCAAATTAGCTACAAGCATCCCAACCTATGCTCGTATGGTGTATATTGATTAGTACGTTGGAACAACTTCTCAACCATTTCTACGCCGTCAAATGATCACCTGATCGCTCTTGGTCGCCAATTCTTGAAATTGGCAACTTCTGCAGCCGGGTGAAACAGCCAAACGAAAACTATGCTCTTTGATCTGTGGGGACGTCAGCGCCGGTCACCAACAAGAACGGCACCACTTCCAAGTGGCCGCTCTCAGCTGCCAAATGCAAAGCTGTTTTGCCCAGCCGTGTGGCAGCATCTTTGTCAGCGCCAGCCTCCAACAGCAGTCTCACCACTTTCAAGTGGCCGTTCGCAGCTGCTGCGTGCAAAGCAGTTTTGCCATCCGGTGTGGCAGCATTTGTGTCAGCGCCAGCCTCCAAAAGCATTTGCACCACTTCCAAGTGGCCATTCAGAGCTGCCACATGCAATGCTGCTTCGCCATCTGGAGTGATGGCATCTTTGTCAGCGCCAGCCTCCAGCAGCAATCGCACCACTTCCAAATGGCCATTCAGGGCTGACACGTGCAATGATGCTCTACCATCTGGGGTGGCAGCATTTTTGCCAGCGCCAGCCTCCAGCAGAAATCGCACCACTTCCAAATGGCCGTTGAGAGCTGCCTGACGCAATCCTGCATCTTTGTCTGCACCAGCAGCCAGAAGCAATCGTGCCACTTCCATGTGGCCGTTCAATGCTGCCGAGTGCAGTGCTCCCTCACCATCCGGCATTGTTGCATCTTTGTCAGCACCGGCCTTCAGCAGCAAGCGTACCACTTCCATGTCCCCCTCGATAGCTGCCATATGCAAAGCAGTTTCGCCATTCCGCATGGCAGCATCTTTGTCAGCGCCAGCCTGCAGCAGCACTCGCAGCACTTCCACCTTGCTGTTCAGAGTGGCCATGTGCAGAGCTGTTTTACCAAGGCGCGTAGCAGCATCTTTGTTCGCGCCTGCCTTTAGCAGCAATCGCACCACTTCCACGTGGCCGTTCAGCGCTGCCACATGCAAGGGAGTCTTGCCATCTGGGGTGGCAGCATCTTTCTCCGCGCCAGCCTCCAAGAGCAATCGCACCACGTCTAAGCGACCATTGGCCGCCAAATGTAATGCGGTGTAGCCGCCCTGCGTGGGAGAATCTTTGTCAGCTCCAGCCTCAAGCAGCATTCGGACCACTTCTAAGTGGCCATGGCCAGCTGCTGCAAGAATAGCTGAGAGGTTGCCACTTGGATCTCGTGCATTGGGATCTTGGGGGCTTTGCAGCATTCGTTCCACCTTCGTCAAAGAGTTCTCTGCGCAGGCAGAGATGAATGCTGTATCTCTGACAGAATCAGGGGGTTGAAAATCCAAAATCCACACCCACAAATCCACTGGTGGGATCAGTCCGGACACGTCTTCATGTAGCTCCTCCCTTTCTTCGTCCAGAAGCCTCAGCTGAAACCTGGAGATCCCAAGCTGAGCTGCCAGCAACTCTTTCAAAGCTCTCAAAGGCTTCTCATTTTCCATGATTGGAGGCAACTGATCCTCATGAAGCTCTGCCACCACCGGGCCAGACATGGCGAAAATCCGCAGCATCGCTGCGAAAAAGAAGAAAACGGGCCAGCGGGTTGCCCGGTGGCCACGTCTCTCCTTTCAACCCTGCCTAGCACTCGATGGAAAGTAGCGTCCATTGCCATGTATGAGGGGATTGAGAAGATGCGCTTCTGGAATGCGCTTCTTTATGGGCGTCCCCTGCCATCGATGCTTCCTTAGCCTTACCCTATGTGCAGAAAATGGTAATGTTGGCTTGGGATTAGGCAACCCCCCCCTATTAGTCTAC